AAAAGTAAAAATTTGATAAAATAAGAAATGAAGATATTCGCAGTAGAACCAGAGTAACTGACATAGCTCAACGGATTATTGAATAGAAATGGCAAAGGGCGGGCTATATAACTTGGAAAACCGATAAACAATAGGAAGAAAGGTTCTCGAGTGGCAACCTCGTACTGGTAAGCAAAGTGCAGGGCAGCCTCCCACTATATGGAGGGATGACACGGTAACATAATATATATATATAAACCTTGTGAAGGGCTGTAATGATGATGATAATGAAGCCAAATGTACTTACTATGATTACTCAACCTTAATTCTTCCTCACGTATTCACATACGCTTTTCTTACCACATATACACACACAAATGGTCGCAAATAATACCTACCTAGTACTATTAGGCAAGAGTGAATGGGTTTTTGTTAAGTCAGTGCACTTCACCATTTTAGGCTACATAACCACTTACCGGTGGGATTGTAGTTAAAAATAGTTAAAAAAATTACAGATAGCTAGATATATTTTTTTATCCAACCATAAAAATATATTACGTATGATGAGAATATGCATATAAGTATAAAGGTTGTCTCACACGGGACAGAAATAATATAATATTATATCTTCCATTATCTGAGCATGAAAACTTTGAAAATCTCTGGATCCCGAGGTATGTCCATATTAAGAGGCTGAATAGAGCCACATTGATATGCATGGGGATTGTTTTGTGATTTCACATCACAAAACTGAGCGACTGAGCTGAGCGCCGCTGGTGCTACCCGTGCTTGGAAAGGTACCTCCAACGAGACTGCCCGTACCAGCGGCCCTGTCCGCACTGCTTGGGCAACTACCATGCCGTTTTGTGCCTGGGTGCGAACGGCGCTTCCTCTCGGGGCTCTGCCGGGCTCTCAACTTCCATGGGCGGGGGCGCTCAGCCACGCACTCTGTCGGGCGACGCTCAGCGCTCCCTGCCCGTGCCACTGGGTTTGAAGGGGTTCCCTCCCTCGACCAGTGGGGGGGTCGTCCCCCCAGGGGCTGGGGGGTCGTCGTCCCCCCTCAGCATGTTGAGAGGAACTTCACGGCCACTCAGCGGTCAGCTGGACCCTTCTCACCCCCGTTAGCTGAGTGGCCGCGACTGGAGTACCACCTTCCCCCCTTTGGTCGGTACCGGTACTACGGGGTTCCTGCGACCTCGAATCTGTCCAGGGCCTCAAGGCCGCGATTCCCCGAAGCTCCCCAGGTCGGCCCATTAGGTGATTTCCAACCACCGCTCATTGAGATGCCGCCGGAATGTCGCTTTCGGGACCCCCGGTTCGAGTGCGGGTCCGATGGAGGCAGCTCCAGCTAGATAGCTTCCGCCCTAGCTCCCACCACGGCCGCCTCCACTGATCCTTTGAGCCGTCAACAGTCCACTTGGCAAACTGTTCTATTGACGACGGCCTCAGTGTAGGTCTGCAACCCGAGTGGCGACTGTTTAACGGTTCGCGCTCTATTGGATTCGGGTTCACAACGCTGTGTGGCCTCCACTTGGTTGGTGGGAAGACAAGGGCTCCCCTGGAGCTCTGAATCACGTCCAATGGTAGGTATCGGAGGTGACGAGCCTCCTGCTCCTAGGGGACAAGCGGAGTTGGTGTTTAGCCCTGCTAGCGAATAAATGACTCCGTATAAATGACAGCGCGGTTCGTTGTGCGACGGGTTTGAGACCGGCAGACCCTCAATGGTGTCAACCTGGGCCTATAGATTTGTTGCTGGGGGCCGACGCGTTGGGGTTCATCTTGTTAGGCGAAATACGAGCCCTACAGCCCGATGGCTTGTCAGCCACATCCACTGTATTTGGGCACAGTTTCTTTGGACCGGTTTTGTGGTCTCCACCTCCTCAGACGGCCGACCCGCTCTCTGTTGTGGGCGTGTCCCTTTCGGACGTCGTGCAGCGGTTCTGGGAAATTGAGGAGCCACCACACGCGTCTCGAGTCAACCCTCTGGACCGTGAGTGCGAATTGTTCTACCAGAACAATACTGGCAGTCGTGTCGACGGTCGTTTTGTCACTCGCTTACCCTTTCTTGACTCACGGCCCCCTTTGGGCCAATCTCGTACCCTGGCCGAAAAGAGGTTGCTTTCCATGGAGCACCGTATGCAGCGCGACCCAGCCTTTCGCGACAAATATGTCGAGTTCATGCGCGAGTATCAAGAGCTGAGTCACATGTCACCGTCCAACTTTGTCTGGCGGTCACAGGAGCACTACTTCCTCCCTCACCATGCGGTCTTGAGGACCCCTGGGAGTAAGATTCGGGTAGTTTTTGACGGCTCCGCCCCCTCGTCAAATGGTGTGTCCCTGAACCAGTGTCTCCACTCTGGTCCTAAATTGATCAAGGACATATCCGACATTTTGACCCACTTCCGTCGGCACTAAGTGGTTTTTGTAGCCGACATTCGGATGATGTTTCGACAATCAGTGGTCCATCGTGATGACCGTCGATATCAGCTGATATTGTGGCGCGAGAAGCCCAGCGATCCGATACAGGTGTTTGAGTTGAACACCACCACCTATGGACTCCAATCCAGAACCCTCCTCGAACTCGCTGAGAGAGAGCGTCTAAAATACGCTCGAGGGCTTCTATTTTGGAGACTTCGGTCTACATGGACGACATTTGCACGGGCGCCTCCACCGTCGAGGAGGCTCTTGTATTGCGAGACGAATTGATTGCCATCCTGAAGTCCAGAGGTTATGAGTTGCGCAAATGGTTGTCGAACTCCCCTCATATTTTGAAGGATCTCCAAGGAGAGGATCAACAAGACCCTCATCTATTCGAGCACCCTGAAAATGCTAATTTTGTGACTGTGCTGGGCATTCAATATCAGCCTGTTCAGGATACTTTCATGTATCGAGTCAAACTCGATCCCCCTCCTAAATCATGGACGAAGCGTTCCGTGCTGTCTACAGTAGCCCGCACCTTCGATCCTAATGGACGGATCACTCCGGTCAATTTTTTGGCTAAGTGCTTTCTTCAAAAGCTTTGGATATCCGGGTTGGGTTGGGACGAGCCTATTAGCGGTGCTCTCTTGCGAGAGTGGCACTCCATTGTGTCCTCCCTTCCGGACATCAACCAGGTCTCCATGCCAAGGTGCTTCCTCCCTCCAGGGAAATGCAGGACTACACTACATGGATTTTGCGACGCTGTAGGTGAGTCTTCCTGCTCGTCGCTGCATCCAGGCTTCGAAGACCGGCAGGATTGCTTCAATGACGCGTCTGTGATCATAGCGCTCCTCGAGTCGAGAGCACCATGACGCCAGAGCGTTTTGTCGCTCCTGCCGTTTAATTGATTCGAGTACCTCTTCTGGCTCACTAGCACCACTCTGGCGAAGGGCACGGATCCGAACGTACACCCTCGCGTCCATTTCCGCCAGTATATCTAGTGGTGAAAAGCGAGCCAGGATTGTCGCCGCCTCAAAGGATATTGTGCGGTATCCTCGTACGATCTGTATGGCCATCCTCCGCTGAACACTGTAGATTTTAGTTCTACAGCGCCGGATGGCCAGCCTTTTTGCCCATATAGGCGCTCCGTATAGAGCTACGGATCGTATAACTCCCGCATAGAGGCGACGTACTTCCTCTGTCGGTCCCCCTAGATTGGGCAGCAGTCTATGCATAGCACCCGCTACCCTTTCGATACGGGGGACTAGGCGCTCGAAATGTTCTTCGAAGCCCCAGCGACTGTCCAGGTGGAGGCCTAGGTACTTCTATACCTCCCCACTCTGTTTTCAGACCCACCCACGCGGATACACGAGTCGGGTGGTTCCCTGCTCCTTGGTAATTTATGGAACCATAGGGCCTCGGTCTTGTGAGTCACTATTTCTAATCCCAACTCGTGGATTTTGGCAACGACGACTTCCGCCCCGAGTTCGGCGAGCTCCTTGGCCCTCTTGAAAGTGATACCGCTGTCGATCACCAATGTGTCGTCAGCATAGCAGACGATATCTACACCAGCGGGAATGCTCTCATTAGGTCCCGCTTAACTATCCCTAAATTGGAACTGTCCGGAGCTGCTCTTCTCACACGACTCCTCAACCACGTTCACTCGTCTTTGAAGTCTGTAATCGACATTATGGACGTCTACGCTTGGTCGGACAGTGAGATGGTACTTTGTTAGCTCAGAGCTGCACCTCACAATCTTGAGGTCTTTGTGGCGAACCGCGTGTCTCAAATCCAGAATTCTGGGACGTCTCTAAACTGGAGACATGTCCCAGGGGAGTTGAATCCCGCAGTCAAATCTGCTCAACCGCGAAGAGTTTATTTCCCTGAAGGGGTACTCGGGCAGGGCGTTAAGCGGCTGGCCAATCAGGAAGTGGCCCGGGGTTAGAACCTCCAAATCAGTCGGATCAGACGAGAGGGGACAGAGGGGCCGAGAGTTGAGTACCGCCTCAATTTTACAGAATACAGTGGCAAGCTCCTCAAAATAGTTTCGCCAATAACGCGACGGAGATGCGTTTTTGCAACCTTAACCACCGCCTCAAAAATACCGCCCCAGTGTGGGCAAGCCGGAGGGTCGAATTTCCACTGGATGCCCTTCTTCTACCTTCCAACTAAAAGATGTGAGGTACTTCATATCGCAACACTAAACACGAGACACTAACACTTAGAACTCACGAAAGTTTGCTAGAATTAGAAAAATCATTAGAAAACATAAAATACGACATACTAGGTATATGTGAAATGCGAAGACTGGGAGAAAAAATAGAAGACCACGGCAGCTACATACTGTACCATAAAGGAGAAACTGCTGGTTGTAGAGGAGTTGGTTTTTTAATAAAACAGTCACTAAGAACATGTATACAAGAATTGATAGGAATATCTGATAGATTAGCAATACTAAATGTAAAACTACCAGGATATAAGAAACCTTGGTCTATCATACAGGCATATGCGCCCACTGAAAACTCAGACCTATCAGTGCTCGAAGCTTTCTATTATGAGATATCTTTAGCTATAAAAACAACACCGACAAACATATAATCTTAATGGGGGATTTCAATGCACAAATTGGGGCTAGACAAAACAATAGTGAGTACGTACTTGGCAAGTTCGGACATGGAAAAAGAAGTCGCAACGGGCAGAAACTAGTTGAATTTCTAATGGAGCCTAACCTATCAGCATTAAATACTAACTTTAATAAGAACAAATATAATAAATGGACATGGATTTCCCCGGATGGTTCTTATAAAAACGAAATTGATTATATAATAACCAACTACCCAAGAGCTTTCACCGACACTACTGTTATAAGCAATTTGAACTTTAACACAAACCATCGTATGGTACGCTGCTCTCTTAGAAAATTCCAAACAAAAATATCTCGCAATCATATTAAAAACAATATGATTAAATTGCCAAGTCAACCTTGCCTGATGAAGTGCAACCCGTTCAAAGAAACAAACGAACATATAACAAGCGATGAAATAGAAACAACACTGAAATATGATATACTAGAAAACGAATTACAAAGCTTGTATATCTCAAAAAATAACGCACACAAACCTAATAAGTATCAACTAAGTGAGCATACCTTACAACTAATCGGAGAAAGAAAGGAGCTTATAGCTATCCAAGCAAAAAAAGAAAATATAAAGCTGGTTGCAGATTTAAGCAAAAGAATAAGAGAAAGTATACGCAAAGATCGCAAGGTCAAGAGGTTGAAAACATTCGAGCACTACATACAAAAAAAGGGGGGTGTGAAAAAAGCTCTGAAAGAACTGCGAGAAGTAGGCAATGGATAGGCAATAGAATGGATACCTAAACTAAAGGATAAGTCGAATACTACCACGATACGACAGAATATCAAAGATCTAGCCACAAGTTTCTACCGTCAACTGTATGCTAGACAGCACCAAATTACAATAGGTCACCACAGAAGAGTGCTCACTCAACATATTGATGAAGGGAAATCAGAGCCTGTGCCGGACATCCTATTGTGTGAAGTCGAAAAGGCAATTAAGAGTCAAAAGATGGAGAAGTCCCCGGGACCAGACAAAATTACCAACGAACTTATGAGGGGAAATATAGAAGAACTGACTCCAATTCTTACAAAGATTTTTAACGAAATCTTAACAAGTAGGCAAGTTCCAAAACAATGGACTAAATCTCACGTAATTCTACTATACAAAAAAGGCAATAAGGAAAACATAGAAAACTATAGACCGATAAGCCTTATGTCAAACGTATACAAAGTTTTTGCAAAAGTAATGCTAGACAGAATTAGCAAACTGTTAGATGAACAACAGCCAGTCGTACAAGCAGGTTTTAGGAAAGGATTTTCAACAATTGACCATATCCATACGATCAAACAGGTACTAGAAAAATATAACGAATACAATAAAAACATTTATGTAGCTTTTATTGACTATGCCAAGGCCTTCGACAGCTTAAACCATGAATACATATGGGAAAGTCTAAATCAACAAGGAATACCAAGCGTGTATACTAAAATAATAAAGAACATCTACGCAGACAGTAAGGCCAGAATCCAGTTAGAAACTTTGGGGGATGAATTTAGCATACAAAGAGGTGTGAGGCAGGGAGACCCTTTATCCCCAAAATTGTTCTCTGCTGTGTTAGAAAATATCTTCCGCAACCTATACTGGGATAAGTATGGCATCAATATAAACGGATCAAAACTACATCATTTAAGATTTGCCGACGACCTGGTATTAATTGAAGAACGTCCCGAAAATCTCGAGTATATAATAAATAACTTAAATGAAGAAAGCATAATAGCTGGACTAAAAATGAACACTAACAAGACCAAAATAATGACAAACAGCACAAAATCTAACATCACAATAAACGGCGATTCTCTAGAATATGTGAAAGATTACATATACCTGGGTCAAGTAATTTCCATAGAAGATCAAATGCCGAAAGAAATTAATCTCAGGATCGCAACAGGTTGGAAGAAATACTGGTCATTAAAAGAGATCGTGAAGTCCAAAGACTTAAGCATGTCAATAAAAAGAAAAACATTTAATACTTGCATTTTACCTTGTCTAACATACGGATGCGAAACCTGGACCCTCACAAAAGCATTAAGAGAAAAACTTGCAGTAGCACAGAGAGCAATGGAGAGGAGTATGACCGGCTATAAAAGACAGGATAAGATCAGAAATATTGACCTAAGGAATTTAACAAAACTTACCGACATACTCGAACGAATCGATCAACAGAAGTGGAGATGGTCAGGACATATGATGCGTGACAAAATGGGAAAGTGGAGCAGGAGAGTAACAGAATGGTATCCAAGAGACAGTAAAAGAAGACGAGGAAGGCAGCACACAAGGTGGGAAGATGAAATAAGACTTACAGCAGGACCAAACTGGAGAAGGGTTGCTCAAGATAGACAACAATGGAAATCGTTGGAGGAGGCCTTTGTCAATAGGCACGCCGAACTAAGAGACATTTTGTAGTTAGTAGATTATTTTATTTTAGTTATAATGTTAAATGTTATTAGATCGGAATAAAGGGCTTTATTATTATTATTATTATATAAGCGGGACCTAATGGGAGCAACCTTGCTTTTAGCGAGTACGAGATGGACGGCAGTATGACCAGAGGAACTCACAGTCCGCAAATATACGACAGCAGCATAGCCCTTCTCAGAGGCGTCGCAAAACCCATGTAGGGTAGCCCTGCATTTCCCGGGGGGGGGGGGGGAGGAAGCACCTTGGCATGGAAACCCCGTTGATGTACGGAAGGGAGGAGAGCATGGAGAGCCACTCTCGCAAGAGGACTCCGCTAATAGGCTCGTCCCAACCCAATCCGGACATCCAGAGCTTTTGAAGAAAGCACTTAGCCAAAAAGATGACCGGGGTGATCTATCCATTAGGGTCGAAGGTGCGGGCTACGGTAGACAGCACGGAACGTTTGGTCCATGCTTTGGGCGGTGGGTCAAGTTTCACTCTATACGTGAAGGTGTCCTGAACAGGCTGATATTGAATGGACCACTGATTGGCGAAACATCATCCGAATGTCCGCTACAAAAACCACTTGGTGTCGACGGAATTGGGTCAAGATGTCGGATATGTCCTTGATCAGTTTAGGACCCGAGTGAAGACACTGGTTCAGAGACACACCATTTGATGTGGGGGCGGAACCGTCAAAAACTACCCGAATCTTACTCTCAGGGGTTCTCAAGACCGCATGGTGAGGGAGGAAGTAGTAGTAGAAGTTAGAAGTAGTGGCGTTCACAGGATGCTCCTGTGAACGCCATTCGAAGTTGGATGGTGACATGTGACCCAGCTCTTGATACTCGCGCATGAACTCGACATATTTGGCGCGAAAGGCTGGGTCGCGCCGCATGCGGCGCTCCATGGAAAGCAACCTCTTCTCGGCTAGTGCACGAGATTGGCCCAAAGAAGGACGTGAGTCCAGAAAGGGTAAGCGAGTGACGAAACGACCGTCGTCACTCGCCACTCGCTCCAGAACAATACCGGCCCGACGGCCGGTATTGTTCTGGAAGAACAACTCGCACTCACGGTCCAGAGGGTTGATTCGCGCCGCATGTGGTGGTTCCTCAATTTCCCAGAACCGCTGGACGGCGTCCGAAAGGGACATGCCCACAACGGAGAGCGGGTCGGCCGTCGGAGGGGGAGGAGACCACATAACCGGTCCAAAGTAGCTGTGCCCAAATATCGTGGAAATGGCTGACAGGCCATCGGGCTGTAGAGCTCGTATCTCACCTAACAAGATGACCCCCAGCGTGTCGGCCCCCAGTAACATATCTATAGGCCCAGGTTAAGCCCACCGAGGGTCTGCCGGTCTCAAAGCCGACGCACAGCGAACCGCACTGTCATTTATACGAACGTTAGGGAGAAACCCTACAATGTCATCGAGGACATTTACCTTGACTAAAATGCGAAGGTGTTCGCTGGCAGGACTGAACACCAACTCCGCTTGTCCACCTTGACAACTTAAGGTGGCCGACGACGCCCAGGGCCTCCCCCTCCAGTGATGCCAGGAGGTACCCCATTTTTTGGCAGGGGGTCGAGTCCCTCCGGGCGTCCACCAGGCTGTCAAACATAACGACGAAGGTCAGCCATTCCGAGAGGACCCCGCGAGAACCTTGGCAGGTCTAGCGTGGGTAGTCGTCCTAACAGCTCTGGCTGAGTGGGCGGCTTCCGAGGAGACCCGAGCAGGCCACTCAGCCGAGCTTCGCGCTCCTTCTCCGCGTCCTTGGCCCCCGCCTCGATCAAGTCGTCCGTGAGCGCGAGGAACTGCTCGTAGTCCGCGCGGCAGGAGTCCAGGACTCCCTTTTCCACCTCCGAGTCCTCGAGCTCAGCGTAAGCCTCCTCCACGGCAGCCCTTCGAGCATCGACCTGCTCGAGCCTCTTCCTCATATTATAAACCCTATCCGGTCGGCCTATCAAAGCGTGTGCGCTGGTAGCCCAGCGCAGCTCAGTCCGCAAGCAACGAATTAGTAGCTTATGTGTCGGCATCCCTACTAAATACAATTACTACGCTGCTCAAATTAGCAAATAACAAAAATAACAAATACAGTTCTTATCAATCAAGTTAAATAGAAATTACACAATTATTAAGTTAAATACAAGTTAACACGAAAAAACACAAATCAAATTAGCAAGTAACAACCCTAGTACGATCAACAAATTATCCGATTACGTGACAACCTTATCTACCTAATCAAAGTACTTCGCCTCAACAAAATTCCCGTTTGTTAACCTACGGGCGTGGCTTTAGTAACTACTCACTAACAATAAAAAAAGGCGAGCAACAAAGCAACAAAAGAAAGGAATTATTATTTATATTAATTATATTATATTAATTTTTCGTATTACGGCTGGGCGTGATTGTAGACACAATCAGCCACGCTCTGCTACCAAATGTTACGGCGTGCAGCTGTCTATCTAATAGTAGGATCCTCCCGGGCCCATGGTAGGAAGAACCTACAGGCAGATGCAGGTCGGGCCTTTAAGGCCAAAGTGGAAGGTCTCTAATTAAAATAAACAATAAGGGGGAAAGACCGGTAAGGGAAAGGCACTTACCTGCTTCTGGAGCGGAGACGGTTCACCAGGATCTGCCCGGCTGATGGAAGTGTAGTGAATGTATGTGTGCTTTGTATGAATCTGTGTGTAAGTGGCCTGGGCTAGATGACACAATACTGTCCTGGAGAAGGTATCCGCTGGTAGCCCCGGAACTATTCCCCTCTTGAGGCACTCTTTCCGTTTTGTCACGTAATGGTACAGCCAAACGTAGAACTTCAAAGGAAAATCACTATCGGAGTTGCACAATTAATTTGACAGAAATTAATAAGTCCTAAAGAACAATTTGTGTCCTCGTAGACGCAACGATTTACGCGGGCTTATACTTTCGTAACAAAAATAGGCGCTAATCACTAAGACGTCAGTATAGATCGCAAAAAACTTTACAATGCTTCTCGAGAAATCCGGCCGATACCGCCGTGTAATATGACCGGGTGGGGGGCGGGTGACCTTGCCATCGATGTTACGCTACGAACGCACGTTAAAAAATTCACGTTTCAAATGTATAATATTTTTGCCTAAACAATAATAAAAACTCTTACGTACTTAAAACTTAAACATTTGATAGCGCGTAATGCCTACCAGACGAAGCTACAGCAGCACACCATGAAATGTAATTGAAGATGCTTAACCGCGACATAATTTTCAGTGATGCGCAAGCATATTAGGCAGTATATCACTTTTATACTTGTCACCTCTACAATCTATTTATCTTTGCACTTTTC